CACTACTGATATCATTAAATTTCTCATTTGTTTATATTCTAAGTTTCTTTTTTTGTCTTTTAGGGTTGCTTTTTGCTTCAATAATTCGGATATTTGCTTAATCTGGGTGGTCTCCTCCTCCCCCCCCTCCCCCAATTAATCCGGATTAGCGAGGGTTTACTGTATTTCATCGCTTTCAGTCGTGTTACATACCTACCCAATCTCATCCTCCTTGTGATGGGTTTGAGGTTCTCACGGCGCTGATAATGAAGAGTACGGTCTTCTGCGCTATAACGCCATGTAGTTGGGAGATAGCCCGACGTTTCGGAGGAATATGTCGCCTCAGCTTGTCACATTCTGCTGGTTTCTTGGCTTACCCTTCGACCCTGAGGATGGAGGCGATGTGTTTCTCCGAAACGTCGGACATTCTCCGAACTAATGACGTTACAACTCAGAAGACTATATCTTTCTGAATAACATTTGACGAAGCGTACAAATTATGAAGCTCCTCATTATGAAATTGTGTCCAGTCTCCTTGCTCTTAAACTCAGATTCTCTGTTCTGCCCTCTCTTCTCAGGCGCCCCCATTGTATGTCATAAAGAAGTCAGTGTAAAAATATGTAATATAATGGTTGTTAATTTTTTTATTTCGATATATAAATTCTTGAATCTGATATGAGATCATTTGGCGAGTTGAATGGCTCTGCGGTCTGTAAGCCCTTCTCACCCTGCAGGCTTTAACCTGCGCCGTTTCCAATCACAGTATATACTGCGTATATATATATATATGTTTCCTTCATTACGTCTCACCATCGCCTGTAATGGGCTACTAGAATGACCTCAAATGTTGGTTTATATAGCCCATTATTATTCTAGGCGTACAGAAAATGGCGTCTTCGCGACTGCATGAAGGTATGGGCCATAACATGGTACCTAATTGATGCAGCCGTCGTTGAAGTTACTACAGCAATCCCCGATCTCTCCAGAGTCGGTACGTCTTGTAGCCCCTGGCAGCTACTTCACCCGCTCTACACGGCTCAGAACTTAGTCTACTTAGTTCCATTTCTACGCTGTCCAGACACCGTGCCTCGGGTTTCAGAATTTTGTAGATGTTGAGGGGAAGTGAGGCAACATGTAGGCTTCCATGTAGCCTGAGTGACTCCAGAAGTTCTCGTTGTCGGACGAGATTTTCAGCCAGACAACGGAACAGCACATGCTGCTATCCCGTGTAGACCTACCGATATGTGTTTAGGAAGTGAAGAGTATAGCAGGATTTGTTATTGACAGATTGAGACATGGTACACGTGACAAGGGAAGAGAATTTTTTGGCGTAAATGTGTCGCCGAAAGCAAGCCGCAACTCTGCCTCCAGGGACTTCATAGGGCTCTGCTCTTCTCTGTGTACGTGATGCTCAGTCCACCTGCTGCTGGTGGGGCGAAACGTACGGATGTAGACGCAATGCGCTCCTCTGCTCGCTCACGGTGCCTTGAAGGCTAAAATATCGGCTGCGAAGACTGATGTCATTTGTCGCTATAGTAACGTGTATACTGCTCAAGTTGTGCAGGCATTTACGAAGTGAAAACATGTTATATTTGTTGGCTCATCTACCTGTAAACATTTCATATCAGTCTGTCTCGTCTGAGTGGCTGGGTGACTGAACGACTGCCTGGCTCACCCACAGATTCTAACCGAGAAAGTTGACTCAGTGCATCCGCAGCCCCTTGCAACATAGCCGCCACCAGGAGCCGTTAGTAGCTTCCTGTCTTCAGGCAGTCGCGGGGCTATTCACGTCAAGACCCTTTCCCCTCCAGCCACAGCATGAGATTTGTGCAGAGCAACAGGAAACCGAGTCTCTGCTACGAGAAATGGACCACATCCCTAAGAGGATTATGCAGAGTTCAGGACACCAAGTGACGCCAGGAGCTCTACAAGATTTCTTCCCTTTCCATCTGTTCACCTGCGAAGTGATACCATTCTCCCAGCTTGTTTCTCTTCTTGGCGTGAGCTCTATCTGAACAGAATCACTAACCAAGAGGCCCAGCAGTAAAACTCTTTTCTTCGGCGGACATTTTGGGTATTGTCATCGTTCCCCTGTTTTTCAAAATGGTATGCTTGAGAAACTGGTTTTGTTTCCTTCTTCAAGTGAGAAGTTAAGGTAAGGAAGTCTGCTCCTTTCGGTCTCTTGGCAGGACTAGTCTCAAACCTCAGACAGGATCAGTAGCCTCATTTTTGTGAAGCTGTGGAGTCGGTCTACATTGCGAAGCGGTCCGACAATTAACGCTTGATGCCTCCCAGTAAATCTGCAGCCACCCAGCAGACATGACATAAGAGGGCTCTGCTTGTCGCGTGCTCTTGCTGAATTTACTCCTCGACCCTGAATATGGAGATAGTACGTTCCTCCTACAGGTAGGTGAGAATCTATCGGATTACACGGTGTCATGTCTCATCTTCATAGTCACCACCGCGAGGCCTTCCGACCCGATATAAGTAACTAAGTTCATGGAGCAGAGGTCTTGTGGAGAAGCTGCTTATCACTCACCTAGTCAAGAAATACTCCTACGGCTTTTATGGGAATGGAAACTTTTAATGCGATGTGTTTGCTCTCCTTGCAGGACTGGCCGGTCAAGTCAACATCGATACAAATGGAGACCGCATTGCCGACTATTCCTTGCTGGATATGGACCCTGTGACCAACACGTTCCACGTGAGTACGCGGTTCAGGTTCTGCATCATTGGTCTCTGTCGTTGTAGTACGGATGTCGCCCGACCCGCTTTCATAATTTTGTATACCCGACCTTCTCAATTTTCATAAAGCAAACTGTTTTGAAAGGATAAATTGCCTATTAATTGCGACAGATCTCATGAAGATAAATTGGCTATCTACCGTTTAGCCTGGACCGCCTCTTAGTGATCGCTTGATGTATGAAGCGGTTGCCACGCAACGTAACAGAAATTGAATTCAGGATTGTGCTGTATAAGAGGTGGTTATGGTCACTTAGCAACCAGGCCGAACACGGAGAAACAGAGAAACTTAGATAAAAGAATTTTGTGTACATATGCCCTAAAAACTGACTTGCTTCTGATTATTTGTGCCTAAAACGTTTTAGCTACGTCCATTCGCAATTGGTGTCTATAAAGTACCATTCGAAGCTCAAGTCTACAGGTGCAAAGGATGTTTGGTCTCAGGAGAGAGAAAGCAACAGGAGAATGGAGATAATTACGTCATGGGGACTTCATAGTTTGGACTCTTTATCTAATATTATTAGGGTTATCAAATCAAGAGGGTAATGTGGGCTGGGTATGTAGCACGCGTGGGAGGGATGAGAAATGTACACCAAATTTTAGTTGGGTAGCTTTCAGGGAAGTGTCCCCTCGCGAGACTTAAGCGTAGATGTTACAATGATATGAGGACGAACCGTAAGACGTGTAGGCTGAATTCATGTGAGATTGCAGGTTTCACTTTAGGTAACGAGGCGTACAGTTATCGACGGCGCAGGCTGTTCGTAATCAGAGAATAAAGTGTCTCGGCGAAGCGTGTTGACGCTTTTCCAAGCAATAAAGTTGTTAAGCAAAATTCCATTCGGCTGTGGGGGAGACTTTCATGAGCTGTATTGCACTAATCCGAACCGCTAATGCGGTTTATTAAGATTTCAAAGCCAAAACAAATACAATGAAACGGATGTTATAAACAAACTTTAGGTGCTTCAGAATTTAAAGAGTAAATGATTAAATGATTTAAGGAAAGCCCTTGCTTTCAGATACACAGGGCGGTGCGGATCTGATCGTTAGATGAATATCGGAAGTTACAATGTTGCAGCAGTGTTCGCACTCTGTTAGCCCGAAGTCTGGCCATAACACCATCCTACTATTTTTACTGACCTTTTAGTGTCTTTATCGACAGCCAGTGTGTGAGGGAGATCAAACCTTCTGCGTTGTCGTGTTTAGCCCTTTGAAGCACTGTGCTTATTACAGTACCACCAGCTTTAACATTGAAAGCCTTCATTTTGCCCACAGAGTGTATTTGTGTTTCATATGGTTTTCACAGTAAACAGTAATTCTTTTTCCGAAACGGCGTTAAGTGACTGATCTTTATAGCGGATATTAATGTGTTTTATAAGCGGTACTAACTAAAATTCTAAGTATTAAGTACAGAAACCGAAGGCTTCAGACGGTTATTTCGTAAGAATCCATTTCTTACTAATGTATGTAGGTAGCTCAGAGAAAGTTCACGAGATTCGTGTATTCTGAAATCCGACAGCCCCAGGCTGCGTCCCTTCAACTGTGTCTGTTATTATAGTTCTACCCTCCTTCCCGTCTTGAAGCGAACTCCCACGTTTCAACAAGCGGGGCTTCCCTTTTCTTCAGACCACTCCGCCCCAACAAACAGATGAAGAAATCTGTAGAGTGTTTGTATCTACTGCAGAAACTTTGTAATTAAAAAGTTCTTGAGACTTTTATTCCATATTTTTAATCTCCTTCGCTGGCAAAAGATATTAGAAAATGTCTGCAAGATAAATTTGCTTTTCCTGTCCTCATCAGCGGAAACAACAGCGACCCGGTCGCTGTGTGGATCATAACAGGGCCACGTGGCCTTATGATTCGGTGTGATGCTCGGCACCATTCTCCCCAAAATGTGAACAGGGTTATTGCATCATCAGTTTAAAGCACACTGGTTCCTGTATGTGCCACCTGCTTTAATATTAAAATTGTCTCCATTTTGCCCACACAGTGTATAATGTCTTCCGTATGGTTCTCATAATAAACAGCGATTATTTCCCTAAACAGCATTAACCGGTTTTTCCTTGTAGAGGAGATGTAAGGGGTTTCCCCTGTGAGGTATGAACTGAATTTATATATACTGCATTCTGCCCACACAGTGCATTTATGGGTTCTGTATGATTCTCACAGTAAACAGCGATTGTTTCCATAAACAGCATTAACAGGTTGGGCTTTGTAGCGGAGACGTAATGTGTTTCCTGTGAGGTACGGACTGGATTTATATATACTGCATTCTGCCCACACAGTGCATTTATGGGTTCTGTATGATTCTCACAGTAAACAGCGATTGTTTCCATAAACAGCATTAACAGGTTGGGCTTTGTAGCGGAGACGTAATGTGTTTCCTGTGAGGTACGGACTGGATTTATATATACTGCATTCTGCCCACACAGTGCATTTATGGGTTCTGTATGATTCTCACACTAAACAGCGATTGTTTCCATAAACAGCATTAACAGGTTGGGCTTTGTAGCGGAGACGTAATGTGTTTCCAGTGAGGTACGGACTCAATTCATATATACTGCATTCTTCCCACACACTGTATTTGTGTGTTCCGTATGATTCTCACAAACAGTGATTTATTTCCCTAAATAGCATTAACCGGTTGATCTTTGTTATGGAGACGCTTTGTGTTCACTGTGAGGTATGAAATGAACTTGTGTGTCAGCACATTATTTAGACGAATTTCTTGCTTCAAAGAGAATTATCGGACAAAAGCACGCGGGTTCCTCAATTCCTAAATCGGACGAATGCCTCCGGCTACTAGACATGCACGCACAAGCGCGCGCGCGAGCTAACACGACAGCTGTGTGGAACCTATCGATCAAAACTGTGTTAACGTGTATAGGAAAACCCGCAGGATATATTTCTGCAAGGATATGAGTAGAAAGGGCATAGGGTGCACAAGGAGACTAGAAGTTACACGAGAACACAAAATGGAAATGAACACAGAAAAAAAGAGACAGAGAGAAAAGAAATCGCCTACAGTGACACAGATAACTAAATAACATTATTCGCATCTTCTGACTAGCAAAGACCCAAGGGAAGGTATTCATGTCAGATTCAATATTGGTGCCTCATGGCAGCTGTACCGACAATACCAGCTAGACTGCTGGAAACTCATATTCGCTCGCTCTCTCTCTTAAGAGACGTAACTAACCTATTTTATTTCATGAGAATATCCCAATTACCGAGTTGGCAGTCTGCAAACACTCTCTCACGATTAGAAGTCAGGAACAGAGCAACGGATGAAAGATTCCAGCAGATGGTGTCTTTGCAAATTTGAATGTTTCCCCGAACACTGTGAATCCCGTGAGAATCCGGAACGCCTCAATGTTTCATGTTATAGAGACCTAAAGTGAAAAAAAGTAAAGCTATCCCTGTACCAGGCCGTGAAGGCCCATAGGGTTGTGAGACGTTGAGGGTCTCACATTATCTAGACCAAAGGTCTCCAAACTACGGCCCACGGGCCACACCCGGCGCGCGATGTGATTTTATCCGGCCCGCGAAAGAATTGTGCAGAAATGCGCCAATTGAACTAATTTTCCAATGAGTACTGGTAAAAAAAAATACTTGTTCGTAGATTTCAAATTTATTAATTAAGATGTGTTTAAAATATATTGATATTCCATATTATGTTAATATTAATATTATTCACAATTTTACTAATTCTGGACCGTATACTGCGCGGTATTTCTTCGTACTTGTTCGGCCTCGATCGGCAGTGTCCCTTCGTGGCAATGTAGGTAGCGCGAGCAGTTCGTTACTAGCCGTCTTGTGCACAAGACTTCTTGCAGTGGTGCAGTGTAATTGTAGCAGATCATTATCACCTCAATTTAATCAGATTTTAAGAATGCAAAAACAGTTCCATCATTCACATTAATTGTTTTATTATAATTTGTGATGAAAATATGAGCATTTGTTGCTACTGCCTGTTGTCATTAATATACGATAATTTATTCTCACGTACTTTGTATTTATTTTATAAAATTCTGTGCTTTCAATAAAACTCATATACCTGGAGTTATTAATTTCCCATTTTATCCCGCCCTTTGAAAGTGCTGAATTACCTAATGTGGCCCGCGTTTCGAAAAGTTTGGAGACCCCTGATCTAGACAATCGGCTCAAAGATGGCGGTACGGTTGTCAGCCTTACGCGCCGGCCGCGCTTTACTCGCCAGGAAAATTATTTAATTAATTCCTGGTACTCATTTCTGTTAGAGGCTGAGTGAACCCCAGGGCCATAGTGCGACTGGAAGGGTTAGGTCAATTGAAAAGATCCAATGACCCCATCGGGACTTGAACCCACGACCTTCCGGCTTGTAGCATAGCCCCTCAGCCAACTACGCTACCGCGTGCCCCCCCTTATAGAGACTACTTGAAGAGGTAAAGCTAAGTTATCTCTTAGTTAACTAAGTACCATGCCATGAACACGTGTGGGGTAATGGAGGTATAAATCCACGTATTCTTGACCTTGGCCTTAGATGGAGGTTAGTGTTGAGCTTCACGCCCAGCCGTCTTGCCCCCGATAACCACCGGAGTATTTTAGTTTGTTGAATATTGATCCTTGAATATTTTTCAATTCCACGGCTAATGTTTTGGCACGCTGAGATGCATTCCATCTTCATAGACGACGGACTTCTGAGTCTTCTGTGGTAAACATTCAGAAACATCAGCGCAGCGTGCGTCATACATGAAAGGGGCGCTTCTGACGTGACTGAACCCTCTCCAAGACTGTATTTCGGCATCATTTGCTTTCGGAAGTGGCTGAGCAGTTGAGAAGAAACGCACTTTCTTAAGATTCCTGCCAAGTTTTTAAAACCGCGCAACATTATAATAATAATCTACAGGCGCTTCATTCCACGATGAATTTTGACTTCTGTTTTACAGTTTCTTGATCAGTCGGTAGGACTCTTTGGGTGGGGGA